GATCATTGGGACCTTAGTGATACAGGAAGACATCTTTATAAAATTCAAAGGTATGTGGGGGATGGAAGGAAGGTGGGGTTTAAAAGAAGGGAGGAAAATGTCATTTCTCGGATAAGAATAGGTCATACAGGTCTCAATCATACATTAAGTATAATAGGAAAGCATCCAACCGGAAAGTGTATAAACTGTAGCCAGCCAGAAACTGTTGAGCATGTTTTACTGCTTTGCAGGAAATATAGTACTCAGAGAAATGTGTTTTTCCAGACACTGAAGAAAGCAAAATTCCATGACTTGTCGCTATCAGGGCTGTTAGGGAAAACATCAGGCAATACAGATTGTGAGATTATTAAGTTTCTAAGAGAAATTGATAAATTTTAAATAATCTAGAGTTTTGGTTCTTTGTTTTGTTTGTTTTGTTTCTTGTTTTCTGCTTAGTCTCTTGTCCACACTCCAGTCCAGTTGGTGGCGGTAATGCACCTACAAGTTGGTTTGCCAACCGCCAATAAACATGAAAGAAAAAGAAGAAGAAGAAGAAGAAGTATTGTTTCCGGTCCGCCTGTGCATCGCTCTTTCCTTTCCGACTCTTTCTCCCTCCGCCCGGTGCTTTCTGATACGCGGCCCACGTGCGGACTTCATTCGGTTTTCACCCTAAAGTTTGCTGTCAAAGTTTGGACCAAATGTCGTCTTCTTTCGATCAGATGAGGGCGAACGTGGGGAAGCTCCTACGAGGTATCGATAGGTAAGGATGGTGCTCCTAACGTATTGATAACCTAGCTAGGCTAACGCTAACTTAGCCTGTTTTGCTAATGTTTTAAGCTAAGCTATGCTAAGTTAAGTCTGTTACACAAAGCATCCTCACAAATAATTGTGCGCAATTTATAAAATGAAACTGTTGATTTTATATCTGTCTTATGCCAACACTGTATTATGTAGACTGGTATGACGAAGCAAACGAGCAACGAAAAAGTAGTTGAACATCAGCTAGCTCTGCTCGACCAACATGAAAACATCTTCACCATAGTCATGAAATAAATACTGAAATACGTTTTCAGATATTTTACTTCAGTAACGTTTAAGAGTATACCATATGGGAAATTACTCAAGTAAATGTCCTGCATTCTTAACATTACATTCCTAAAGTATGCTATTATTATCATGTATGAAAGTAGAACTATTAATTGTGCAACATGTTCCCTGTCAATGCTTTACTATATATGAAGTTTGTATATACAATTATATTAGGGCTGCAAGTAAACAAAAAGTGACAGATGTTACCTGCTTAATGTTGATGACGCCACTTCAAAACAACACCTGACATATAGAGGCTTACCTGGATAATACTTCCTATGACCCTGTCTTTTAATAAAGCTGAAATAAATGAAAAGTTCCTTAAGGAATACCAACATCTTGAAATAAGCCACAGGACTTTGGTTACATCTGCTCCCTGATCTCTCAGCGAATTGAAAGTGCTTATTGCCTGAGATCGCATGATGTGGTTTTATTAAATGTGCCAAGTGCTAGGACTGTCTTAGGGAAGAACGCTTTTAGATGTGCAGCTCCACTAACTTGGAAAAGTCAGCAAAAATAATGGAAAATTACCAATCTGGTACCACTACATGTTTTTAAAGCTTGGTTGGATGCTACACAATCAGATGCTGTTGGTACCTGTACATGTGGATAGATATGTAAATTGTAATTGTACATCATAGAAGCACTGAGTCCTAGTTAATGCTGGTGTCTCTCCTCACAGGTACAACCCAGAAAACCTTCCTACGCTGGAGCGCTATGTGGAGACACAAGCTAAAGAGAACGCCTACGACCTGGAGGCCAACCTGGCTGTCCTCAAGCTGTAAGTTACACAGACAGGCAGCCACTATTCAAATACTGGCTAATAACGTTAGCTTGGATGTCTTGCCTTGTGCGAGTGTGGTTCAGTTGGATTAAAATAATAACATTAACATTCTAAGACACATTTTAGTTTCAAACTGATCACAAAAAATAATGGGCTTCCCAAGCTATGGTGCAGTAAACAATTGTTTTCCTCCGCAGGTACCAGTTCAACCCAGCCTACTTCCAGGTTACGGTAACCTCTCAGATTTTGCTCAAGGCTCTGACCAACCTGCCACACACCGACTTCACTCTCTGCAAGTGTATGATCGACCAAACACACGTATCCTTTTGGTGCCGTTTCTTTATCTGATGCTGTCTGACTAGGTCAAAAATCATCATCAATCAAACCATTATTTTGGTTAACACAGCATGGTGCAGTAGTAAATGATATACTATGCAGCGGCGAAATCGCTCTGCTTAAAATAAATGCATCACAGTTATCGAGTTGATTGGACTATACTTGACTTTATTATGTGCGTGTCAGTGTTTAAACAGTGGGTGAAATATCCTTTATCTTATGTGTAGTCTTGATATGTTTTGGTGATTTCATTCCTGTAGTTAAGGTGAGACACGACATGCAAAAACATCGTTTTTCATTCACTAGTCCATTTTGAGATTTTGTGCTATTTTGATTCCATAACATGTT